ATTATATATAATTATATATAAAATAAGTAATTATAATATTATTAAAATAAGTATTATTATTAAAATAAGTAATTTTTAGAGTTGAAAGTAATTGTTTAGCATATTTTACATCCAAAACTATTGGACAACAATTATGTTCTGATCGAGTATGTTTTGATCGTAAGAGGAATATAAAATAAAATCTGTTTGTTTCAGATTTAATACAGCCATTCTAAATTGTACTTAATAAGTTTAGTTTTTAAGGATATATTATTTGATAAATTTACTATAATATAATATATTTTTCTTGTACTATCATAAATATTTGAGGTTTTCCTCCATAAGGACACTTTATCTCTAATAACAGTGTCTTCGAAAACAATACCAGGCAAGTAGTCGAGTCAAGGATTTTCAATAGATATTATCAATTTACATTCAATACAATAGATTTTGTTATTTCTCTATATTTTTGTCAAGTAAGTGGTTCATTTTCTAGCCCGTGTCTCACATATTTGTTTGTAAATTCTTTAGAATAGAAAAACTTTAATGATTTTTGCTGCCAATCCAGATTTTTATTTTTTGAATAAATTAGCAATTAATAACATCTTGATCCTGTGATTCTGAATTGATGTTCTTTTTTCCACAAAGGGAACATTTAGTTTCTGTGCTATATATATATGCTATGTATATAATTGAATTATATTCTTCGAATAGTTATCCACTCAAGTGATACAACACTCTTTCGGTGATATATTTAAAGACATATTAGATAATTCTAACATTTGCGCTGATAAGTTGTCCACAATAGTATTTATTTCAGATAAGATATCTGGCAAAGAAATATTTGTTTTTTTTCAAGATCTTTCCTTTAGGACTATGTCTTCCACACTTAAGTATCAAAAAAACTAATTTAACAAATAAAAATTAAATTGCATAAAATTTATTGGTAAAATACAAAAATTTTAAAAATACACATTTTATGAAATTATCAACTAAGAAATAAGATGCATAAGTTTACCTATTAAGTGTATAGAATTATAAATTGAAAATACTACTACAACAATATAAGAGATTTACAGCGCAGTCACATCTAAGATATTTAAAAATTAAGAATATATATTGTATTCATAATATCTAACTTCGACATGTACATTTGTTGTAAATAAATGTTGTACATTTACAATAATTTAGACAGCCCAATCTTATTTCTTATTTAAAAAAAAAATTTAATTATTTACAATCAATCATTGGTTATATCATCTCAAAAAGATATCTTAATCAAATGCGTCATATATGATGATGAAATTGTGGATAATTTCGATTTAATAAATGAGCTCTTCTCGCTTTTGATTTTTCAATGTTAAAACATTTATGTTCTGTCAATGGAGCTACCTTACAAGTGTCTAATGCCGCCATATGAGGAAAATTCCACACGCATTTTTTATCAGTACAAGATATTTGATCTAATTTTTCGATGTCTCTCTTGAATTAAAAAAATGCTTCGTTTATAAACATAAACTATTTCAAACTATATTTTCGTCAAACTATATTTAAAAAATGATAATTGCAAGAAAACAACAACAAATTAAAATTTGTATACATTTGATTATTAAACTTAATAAATTATATACATAATATTATGTACATAATGTACATAATATTTAATATATATAACTAATTGTAATATACGTATATGTATATTGCTTACCGATTGCCGAAAATAACATAGCAACCATGTGCTTGCACTTGATACTTAACTAGCCTTGCATGTACATTGAGTTATCGTTCTGTTTACATTGATTTTTACTTGATTGGATATTTGATGGGATAACATCTCTCATATTAGAGATTTGTTGAAGCAGAAACAAAGCAAATTATCTTCGGTTTGTTTTGCTATGCCATATGCCAATAAATGACCAGTTCAACAAATTTTCACTTTCAATATAGTTACGCGTCAAAGGTGAACATTCCGCGAAGTCACAAATATTTTTTATGCTTCAATGCATCTTCAAAATATTTTATACTTGCAAACTATACTTGTCCGTACAAATATAAAATATCAACTGTCCGAGATCGAGCTTCCGATGAAAGAGTTTTTATTTCCTCAGATGCAACTTTTTATCAATAACGATCGCTAGCTGAAATTAGTATAGTAAATCGTTTTTTGAAAGACTATTTAAGCTAAACAGCAGAGCCACAATAACAATTAGCTTGAGAACGATACACACAAAACACATTTGAAAGTTCTCC